GTGTTTCGGGTACTGTGTACACACACTGTGGAGGACAAGGAGGAAAGGAGCATCTTAAACGATTAATCCCTGAAATGCTTGGAACCCAAAAATGGTCTGAGGGACGTTTCATCCTGGTCGCAAGGGGGTTGCGTTGTAGCAGTTCAGGGGATGGTGGTGAAAGTGCGTCAACAGCGGTAGTTAAATTTTACTGCTTTTTGACAAGCGTAAATAATAGTTATTTTAGGATATATAATTAGTATCACGTTTTTCAAAAGGTTCTCTTTCACAAGTTGAATAAAAGTAGTATTGTGAATGAGCAAACACTCTGTATTTCATCTGTAAATTTGAGTCCTCGATGCTCAGCGAGGTTCTGAAGGTACCTATAGCTTTTAAGTTACTCTGGTCTGTACCCTTTCTGGAAAGACTAAGGCAATGCCTGTAACTGGACAAGGTTGTTAAGTGACTCTTTCAGAGACAACAGAATATTAGTATGGGATTCACCTCATCTCATTTGATATGTCAACGGTGATGATGACTGTAATAGAGATGTCTAGGCTGTCTTTATTGCCAGAAGTGCTCCTAGGGCATGATTAATTTTAGGATGAATGCCCAAAATCGATCATGGGAATCCGTTTCTAGAAATAGCTCTTTGTGGATACCCAAAATTAAGTCACCCTAAACAAAACTGTCACTTATATTAATGCTTAAGAACACCTTGAGGCTGATGGTCAGACTGATACTTGGTGGCAGAGGTTCGATTCAGGTGAAGTCAAATGTAGTAGGGAAATAACTCAGTGAACCAGCTGCCCTAAATTTCCTTGAAACTCTTGAATCTGAGCACGGAGAACAACTGTTGTGGTCATGCTGGTGGTGATAACTCCTGCTGGCAGGTAATCGAGTGTTCATATTCTGTTGTTAGACCTATGGGCTATCTCCCATGTTATGATGAGAGCAGACTGTCAGGTGATACCTGTGTTCAGCTGAATTGAACAGAATTTGAACATTTACAAATATTTCTGGCCTTCCTCTGTATTTGAAAGGATGCTGATAGGTGGAGCTACTTCAGAAGTTATGTCCATGTTTCTTATTATCATGTGTTTCCTCTATTTAGCTATACATATAGCTAAAATACCAAAAAGATGGTTTTCTGCATCCTTTTGTGCCTAGGAAATTAAATGGTAGCGTTCTCTGCCCCAATTTGTGTTGCTGGAACAAGCTGTCATGAGCTAGAGCAGAATGCAATGCCATGGCAGGAGTGAAGGTTGTTCTTTATGTTTTGTGATGGCTGTGAGTATTTTTTGGTAGTGTGGTGTTGGTTTTTGAGTCTAAAAAAGCCTTAAGTGCTTGGTAATTTTATATGCTTACAGATTGCTTTCATCATATAGCATCGTGAGCACAAGTGTAATTAGTTAAGGTGCTCAAATTATATTTGATGTCTGTATAAAAGAGAATAAATTGCTAAAATGATATTTTCCATTAAGAACCTTGATTTTGTAGTTTAAATATGGTATCTCTGAGTACTTGCCAGAACTTTCTTGGTTGTCCAAGAGGAGATGAGGAGGGAAAACCACAGAATCATCTAGGTTGGAAAAGACCCTTAAGATACGATACACGTCGGCTGTATGGAGCAACAAAACCACCTTCAGTGTAGTCAGTTACTTGAGGTTTGGGGGTGTAGACCTGATTAGGACTTCAATTTTGTAATTTTAAGTCTTGTTTGTATATTCAGATGCAGAGCAGGATTTAGCCTCCTTGCCCTTCATTAGCCCTCCGGTCGGATCCTGTAAAGCAGGCATCGTTGCTGACTTCCTCCAGTAATAGTAGAGCTGTATTGTCCCCAAATTTTATAACTTAATAAAAGTGTGGGAAGCCCAAAACACAGAGGTACAGATACTGTCTCTACTGCCCTTTGAGGATGCTTTCTGTCATGTTTTTTTTTGTGTGTTAGTTTTGGTTTTTTAAAAAAAAAACAAAATCCATAGTTATCATGTTTTCCAGTTTATAACTGTGCTTTGTTATTAATTCAGTAGCATTAGCTGGATCAGGCTTGATAAAAATATAAAAATAAAATTACAACGCAAATAAATTCATATTTTTTTTCACTGGCTCTCCTAATATATTTGTATACCCATTGAACAGAAGAAGTGGCAAAATTAACTATTACAGAATGTCACAGGACAGAGCCCACCCAGAAAGCTTTTTGTCACAAAGCATCTTTCAAATCTTCCTAAATAAATCAAAATGTATTTTTGTGCACTGCTAGTAGTACGTGAAGAAAACTCTCTGACTGTTAGAAATAATTAAACCTCACAGAATTCATTATTCAGTGATACTAATTTCTCATGTATTATGTGATCAGCCTGCGCAAACAACGGAGTTTCTGCATCACACTGTATCCGTATCTTGATTAGGCTGAGATTTTAGAAATGTGAGGACTCAGAAAATTGAAAAGCTTTATGAGGCAGTAATGCTTCTATAGACTGAGATGTTAAAGTAAATTGATAGTGCCCAAGTACTTAGCAACTTCTATTTTGTTACAAAAAGACCGTATAACATTTTTTTTAAAGACAACATTATTTCAGGGAAATCTATTTAAAATGGTGCATGTTCTTCATTTGTGAATAACGTATACTGGTCTCTTTTTTGTTAAGCGTAAATTTCTTTGTATTATGAAATTCTCCCTGCAAGTCCTTGAAGATTAAGTAAAATACTTTCTTCCTCCTGTCCTTATAGATTGATGATCTGAAGAAGATAAACCATGAGCTAAGGCAACATGTCATAAAACTGCTTGGTAGGAAGCAAGTGGTTGAAAGTCCAGTGGATAGGTTCACCTATAAAAATGATCATCTGTGTAAAGAACTTGCTGTAATTGGCAAACTATCTGAGCAGCTGGAAAAAGAATTGCTGTTGAATACTGCTGATAAGGAGCTTGAGGAAGCAAAGGTATCTGCTTATTGGAATTAATGTTGTACAGTGATATTTTAATGTTGTTAATATTATGGGGAACTGATTTTTTTTTTTAACATTTGGACGGAATTTCTAGTTTTTATCTCTGCTTTCAAGTATGTTTGCTGGGATGATGGAAGAATAGGTTCTGGCCACTGTGATATTTTTCAAGGGTAGAATTGTTCAAGGATTAAATTCCATTTGCAGTTGTAAAGAATGTAATTTCAGTGCAGATGGCTTTTGATTTCACAGGATAATGTAAAATTACATTCTATGCACATGGAATTATGTGATTTAATAGTAATTGTCAGATGGGAGAAATGATATTCTTTGTTTGCCATTAGTAGAATCACATACTTATTTCTTTAGCCTCTAGGTATAGTCAAACTGTTCCTATTTTCAAAAGTTTCAAAACATGGTTCAGGGAAAAGGTATCTTATGCTTCCTTTTTCGTTCACTCACCTGAGAGTAACTCGTTACTGTTTTTCCTAATCCTGGACTGCATCTGAAGATAAAACTTTTAACTGATTCCCTTCTTGATTAAGTTTATTGTTACTAAATAGTATGTTTTCAGCCTTGTCAAGCTAGAAAACTTGTACAAAACGTTCCTTGGACAAGAACAGTGGAGCTGAAATGCTGGATTTGCACTAGTGATTATAAAAAATTAATGCATCTCTTGCTTTAATTTTTTTTTTATGGTAGATTCAAATTCAACACCAGCAGAACAAGATAAAGAAACTGGAACACATGGTGAAAACACTAAAATCTGTGAGTTAAACATGTATCTGTAACATATATGTAGCTATGAAATCAGATTATTTCCACATGAAATTAATGCTTGTACAAGTGAATTACACTTGCTTTATTTTCACTGATAACAGACAAGTTATAGAATGGATAAATATATCTGTTTTCATTTTTAATTCTTTGTCTCTAGATGATTTGGAATCTGTTTCTGTTTTGCAACCAGCCTGTAATGATTTTGCTTTCGAGAGTCTTAATATTTTTTTTACAAAATTACACATAACTGTTTTGAATACCTCGTAAATCACTTGCAAAACAGAAAGAAGTAATATTTTTTCTTTAAAATTTTTATCTTAATATTCTGTCTTCCTTCAGGGTTTATGATACTGTTGGAATATTTTGAAATGTATACAATTTTGTAATTGTAGAAATATTTACCAATGATAAATCTAACTTAAATTTGAATTTATTAAGTGGACTCGTTCACTTGCTTCTAGTATAAATTGATAGGGAATTTTTTTGTATTCAAGATAATAATTTCTTACTATAATTTCAAGATTTGCCTCAAATTTCAGAGGAAGAGAAATTTCAGAATTGAAAGAACAACCCTTCAGGAGAGAGGTTGTTTTTTTCTTTCCTGTATAAAATGTTTGAGGTTATTCCACAATCCTGCAAAGAACCCCCTCTGGAAAAAAAAGACATTCTGACTACATAGAGCCTACTGCTCAATTACCCCAGAAAGATTTTGATCCTTCAGCCAGAAAGTTTGGGCTTTGAGAGCTAGATTCAGTGAGAGATTTAGGTGATTAGTTTCCAAGTTTTTCGGGATTTAAAGACCTGCTTCTGCATGCGTCTTAACAAATATAAGAAATTTGCAGAGTTTAGTATTCCCCAGTTGCTTAACCTTCCCTAAGTCTGAGTACTTCCAACAGACAGATTGCAACGGATAGGGATTTGGTGTGTAATTTTGAACTTTGGAATTGAAATTCATCTTCAAAATTTGTTTTAGGCCTCTACATGGTTTCCTGGATTTCAACTATACTTATTTGCACATTACTTTATTTCCATTTAAAAAATTTAACTTTAATGGATCTTAAGGAAATATAGTGGCCTAATTTCTTTCATATTTAAAAATTCATTAGATGTTCCAATACAAATCTACTTAATTGTGCTCCTTAGTTTGAACAGATGTATTCCAAGTTAATTAACGTTTACTTTTTATGTCCTTTTCTGTCCTGTTAGATATGTTTTAGAAAGACATTCAGACATGTTCTGTATTATAATACAAGTCAGAAAATACAGACATTGAGAAGTTACTTTAAAGTATTAAATGAATATTTATTTTAGTTAGATATCTGCTTCATCTTCATTTTGAAGAGTATATTTATTTTATATTGAAGTATCATTCATTACAGAAGTTCTGTAATTCTCTCATTTTTGCACATGCAGGTTATATTACAAACAGAAGCTGAAACAAAGCAAGGAAAGTCACCTTCAAGGCTCGATACCTTTATTAAGACATTGGAAGAGGACAGAGACTACTATAAAAGCAAGACTGAGAATTTGCTGAAGGTATTTAGAAACGCATTTTCAAGTCCTACGCGAACCTCTACTTGTGGCATCATGTCAAAAAAATTTTCATCCATCCAGGTGAGCTTGGAAAACACTTTGGAAGAGGAGGAATGCATCTTTTAAAATTTTGGTTTATGTTATGCTAAACTATCAAAGCCATAATTACTGGGAAGAAAAACTAGTTGATTATAAACAGAAGGATGCATAAGATGGGAATGGGCAAATAATGTGAACTTAACTGCTGCTTTACACTGCATGCATGTGTGTCACTTTAAATGGTTACTGGCAACTGCTTACATTTTAAGTAATTATTAACATGATTGTTGGTACCATTTGTGGTAGACATTTGCTACTCAAAATAAATGTGTATTTTAGAAAATGGTGTGTATAGCCGGTCTCTCATACTGGCTCACATACAGGTCTGTCACTCTCTCACATACACATATGTATGTGCAGTCTTGTCTGTCTTGAGTTTAGTAGGTTGAAGGCTTATTAAATCTTTTATAGAAATTTCTAAACCAGATATAATAAGAAAGCATTTCAAGTTTTGTTTCTCTACTTTAACCTTGTATCACTTTATTCTTTAAGAAGAGTTCTGATACAGAAGTTTTGAAAATATTGAGAGAACACGAAGAACTTAAGTCAACGCTGAAAAAATATGAGCGCCATGTGGCAGAAATTCAGGGTAACGTCAAAATTTTAACAGCTGAGAGAGACAAAATTGTCAGACTTTATGAACAGGTAATTTTATTTACATTTGTATGATTAATTAAAATAAGGTGATGGACAAGAAAAAAATGCTGGGTTTGTGTAAAAAAAGAAAAAATGCAAAGCATTTGTTAAAAAAAAAAAAGTTATGGAAGTTCTGTGATTAAAATCTGTCAGTTAAATATAAGTTTGTAGGTGCTGTCCGGAGTTAAGAATGCTTTCCTGAACCAGAGAATATATGTGCAAATCATTACTTCATCTTTGCTATTACATGGTTTCTGGGATGCTTTGCATTATCAGCCGTATGCCACACTAACATATTATATTATCTGTTTCATGTTTCTGTTATGCTGCCGTTTTTAAAAACAGGCACAAGAAGAGATTTCTCGACTTCATCAGGAAGTTATCAAATGCCCCAGGACTCCTAAAAGTACTGTGATAGCTCAAGCTATGTTAAGACATGTGGAGATAGAAAGGGATACAGCATTGTCAGATTTCCAAAGGATGACTACAGAACGTGATAGCCTCAGGGAGCAGTTAAAGGTTTGATTTCTGCCCACCCACTGACCCCCTCCCAAGGTTATTTTAACAAGAAAACTACTTAGTAGTGTAATTAAAGTTGCTAAAGATTTATATTCTAATCCTGACAGTTACTCGCGTTGTATGTTTGTGGTGAGTTCAGACTTGTTCTATATGTGATTTTATTGTTGTTGTTATTTGATACAGATTTCTCAAGAGACTGCATTTAACGAAAAAGCTCATTTGGAACAGAGAATTGAAGAGCTAGAAACTACTATTCAAAATGTAAGAGAAAATAATTATTTACAGACTTGTAATACAGGTGATGTTCATAGTTAATCCTGCAGGACCAACCTGACTGCTTTCTATCAGGAATCAACAGGCTGAGAGCAGTGGATATTATTTACCAAGACTGTGGCAAGGCTTTTGGCACTGTTAACCGCAATATTCTTATATCTGGGTTTGGACCTTATGGTCTGGATGGGTGGGCAGCTAGATGGGGGAAGATTTGATTGTATCGTCAGTCTTATTAGGTAGCAGTTAATGGGTTATACTCGGCCTGGAGACTGTTAACATGGAGCACCACAGGGATTTGTTCCAAGGCCTGTCCTGTTTAACAACTTTATCAGTGACCTGAAGGAGGTAACAGAATGTGTGATCATAGAGTTTGCAGATGACACCAAATTAGGGAAAACTGATGATATACTCGAGAGCAAGACTCTTATCCACAGGGACCAAGACAGGCAAGAAGAATGGACAGCAGGAACTTCATAAAGTTCAACAAGTATGAATGCCAAATTCTGAATTTGGGAAGAAGAGCCACTGGCACCAATACAAGTTGGGGACCAATGAGTTTGGAACCAGGTCTGCTGAAAAGGCCCAGGAGGCCCTGGTGTACAGCAAGCTGTACGTGAGCCAGCAGTGTGCCATGGTGGCAAAGGTGGCCAAGAGTGTACTAGGCTGTGTGAACAGGACACAGCCTGTAGCTCGAGGGAAGCGATTGTCTCCTTTTTTACTCAGCATTCATTACACCACATCTGGATTACTACATTCATTTTTGCCACCATGGTACAAGAAAGACATTGCCAAACTGAAGTGAGTTTAATGGATGGCTCCCACAATCCTTGGGGCTGGAACACTTTCCCTATGAGAGGAGACTGGTGGAACTGGGATTGTTCCACGTAGAGTAGAGGTGGCTTAAGTTGGACCTAAGTCCTTCCTGCCAGTACTCATCAAGAAGTCAGAAACAGACTTTTCACAACAGTGTATGATGGGAGGATGAGCAACAATGGGCATCAGTTGAAATGAGAAGGGTTCCGGCTGAATACAAGGAAATACTTCTTTCCCACAAGGACAGTTGAGCAGTCTTCAGCCTTGGAAATTTTCAAGACTGGACAGGACAAAGTCCTGAACAACCTGACCTCAGAGCTGACCCTGCTTTGAGGAGGATTTTAGACTAGAGACTGCCTGGAGTCCATTCCAATGTGAATTATCTTATGATTGCATATAATGAAGACCTGATGCTCCAAAACCAAATGTAATTGTACTGTTCTGGCAAGTCCTGTTTAATATGGTTTAAGTTACTTGTGTGTGTCATTGTTGGCTAACATATAGTGCTAAAATAGAAAATTAAAACATTAATAAAATGAATATAAATCTTAAATATATTTACAGTCTTGGTAGAACTTTGTTTTACTAGATTAGTATTGATTTCTGTAGCATGTCTTTCTTGTAGATCTTGTGGTTAAAAACTCTGGTTCTTTTTCTTTTTCCCCTTCAGCCTTTTAAATCCTACCAAGCTTATAAATATAGTTCCAAGGATTATAATATTAAACTGAGTGCATCTGTGATGAAGGATGTAGTGTAGGCTTAAATAGCTCTGAGTACTCTTGAGTAGTAAATTAGCTTTAATCACATGCTTGACATATGATGTGTAGTGAATATTGGAAATAGTCCTGGTTTAGGTACGTCATCTTATTTCTTCAGTTCATTTGGTACCCTGTGAGGGTGATACATCACTATGAGATTTATGGCACTAGTATTGAAAAAGTTACTGCATACCAGAGGCTTACTGACTCGCTCTTCAGTGGTCTGACCTTTGATTATTGTAACACAGAAATTAGTACTGGAAAGAATTAGTAAATGAGGAGAGTGATGAGTTGAGAATTTTTTACCTTAAAGGAGCTGTTTCAAATAATTTAGAAAGGACAGTTCTTTAAATGGTAAGTGTAAGCATTTTAATAATGAAACAGGAGTTTTCTGTAAACTGAAGATTTCAAACTAGCTTTGCTGGAGTCTGTGCAAGTTTCTGGACCTGTTCTTTGTTCTAGATCCAAACCTAACTTGGTCATATAGTGCTTTATGCAAATATTTTACAGTGATTTCTCTATCCAGTTATTGGCATAGCTATATAACTTAGTAGAGGCCTAAATCCATAATTGGTCGTGTTGTATCCTGAACCGTAATTTCTCCTTTGATACATTCATAATAATGTGTTCCGTTACGTTCTTTTCGCACTGAAAACTTTTAATGTTGATCAGTGGAAAACATTTTTGCCCTTGGGCATAATTACCAACCAATAAATGAAAATATTCCCAGAGATCTGAAAGACAGGAAATTGATTGTCCTTCAAAGGAAGCAAAAATCACATACCACCTCTTTGCCAGCTACCTTCAGTAGACTTGGAGTGAGGCCCTGAGTAAATGAGATACTTGGACACTTCTCTTTCAGTAAAAAGATCTACGCTAAAAATAGAGTAGAATTTAAATTAATAGGAGAAATTGTATGTATAAAATCAGCTGCTTTTGGATTTTAATGTTTAATTATATTTACAGTTAGATAGTGAACTGTTAGAACAGATGTCCAAAGTGACGCTAATGAAAGACACCATTGATTCTCTGGAAACTGAGATAAAAAGATTGGCAAGAAGAGCACTGGACTCTGAAACTGAGCTGAGCCGACAGGAAGCTGAGTATGTTTCACTTAGGTAGGTAAAAGCATATAATTGCATTAGTTTGATGAGTAACATCAGCCTATGTTAGTTGGTTTTCATAACTGTTATGTAGCTCAAAGAGAAAGGAATTTATGATAGTTTTTCTTCTGAGCGATCCTTCTTTTTGGAATAAAATTGTTTTCCTCATTGCTTATTTATATGTAAGTGTTCTTGGCTTGTTGATATTATGATATGCTGAAAACCATCTTCAGTGAAAAAGTAAAATTCACCCTGACTTAGAGTTAGGAGCTTTCTATTAGAAGCTCCAGGGATTGATGGTTTTTGGTGAATTGTGTATGAGTTAAAAAAAGTATTTTTTTCATTTTTTTACTATTGTTTCTATAGAGGTAAGCAAACGTGCATAAACTAATGAGTGTCACGTGTAGTTAGTTTCAAACATCCTTTTCTTAGTCTTGGAGCTTTTTCATGAGAGGAAATAAAACTGCAGTCTTGCATAGGTTTCATGGCCTGCTGTTCAGCTGGAGTTCCTAACTATGTTCAGAAGCATATAGTGGGACTAGACTCAATCAAAGCCTTTAGGGAAGAAAGCATAAGTCAGTGAGTGCAAGATAAAAAAGGATAGTTTACTGACTAGAGGGAAAGATCAAGCACGTGTGAAGTTTGTGTGGAGAGATAAGAAGGACTAGATCACAGACTAAATTAGGCTACAGAGTGATCAGACTGCAGGAGAAGATACTGTGACTTTTTCCTCTTGTATTTTCTTAAATATAATTCAGTTTAGGCAAGAGCTCTTCTAAACCTATGTGTCCTTACAAATGACCGGTGTAGTTGACGCATGGGTGTTGTAGGGTTTTTTGTTGGATTTTGATTGGTGAGAATGCTGGATGCTAGCATGCAATATTGTGTCAGTCCACAATACCTTTCTAAGGGTACTAGGATTTCTAAAATGACACAAACTCCTTTTCAAATCCAGTCCTGAGTTACTGCTGCTTTATAGTAAGTTGTCAGATTTATGAATACTGTAAAAATTGAGTTGTTGAAGATAAGTTGCTGCTACTGAAATATCTTTTTCTCTCCCTTAAACCTGGCTGATAGTTCTCTTCCATTTCTTCAACAGTTTGAGAATCAATGGTATTATTACTTGGTTTGAACGTATGACTTGTGTATAACTTGAAATAGGTTAAGCATTCCCATGTGTGTCCCAAGTGATGATTTTTAATTTAATAATTTATGAGAAGTTTGTACGTTCACCTGTTGTAAAGACTGCTTCTTACTTTTCTAGGATTCTTTACAGGAGTATTCAGACTTTAATATCCAGAGATTAAGAGTAACATGAATAAAATATCCCAAGTAGGCTAAAATGTACAGAAGAATCTCAGTTTTTCTTAACTTTCACAATTTTAGTGACATTTAAAAAAGGAAAAAATTAATATATAAGCTTCTGAATTCTCCGGTTTAATGTTTCTGCTTTTCCAGTTTATTGAATGAAAAGACAGAACAGAGTCTTTCAGAGACTCAGCAAAGTCTTGTTAAGAAAAAATATGAAATGCAACTTACCCAAGAGAAAATTAAGCTTTTGGATGAAAAAGTTGGTGAGTGACAGATACGGTTTTTGTAATAAAAGTCAATAGGTTAATTGTTATATCACTGCTTTTTATCCTTTTTTTTTTTTTCCCCCTTATGGGTTGAAAGAAAAAGTGCTGAATGCAAGTAAATATACTTTTGACAGTTCTAACATTTCAAGTGCAAAACATCTGTTTTATTTCATTATTGGAAGGTTTTTGCATTTTAAAATTACGTAATAAAGCTCTTGCAAGTAAGTTTCAGTGACAGTATGTACTGTCAGCTGAACAATGTGTGTCAGTACCAGTGTGCAGTGTCCAAGCATATTAGTTATATTTATGCTCCACTAAGGTGGTGGTAGCACCTGTCAGCATCATAAGGCAATGATAGAACCAGGAAAATATCCTATATAGTACATATCCTATATTGTATGTTGCACCATTTTTATATTGTGGGAGTAAAGTAGGTAGATACAGGAATTATTATTCCTGTAGTGCCAAGGAATATGTTCTCACTTCCAAAATTAAAACTGTATTGTGTTAGAAGTCTTTTATTATTTTCTGTAGGTGCAGTTGATATAATCTGTTCTCAAATGCACTGCTGAATTTGTGAAGAGAAAATAAAGCTAACCTATAGCTAATGACATCTAATATTAGAGCTGCCTTATGCTATTAAAATATCTTTTTTTCTGTTACTTACAAATTTCACTCTCTGGTTATTTGGATTTAAGCATTTCATTCAAGATGATAATGTCATTCAAATGGATAAGCATTTCATTCAAAGTGAACTTGATTTTTTTTTTTTTTTTTAATGCTTTGGTTAAAGTGTTTAAGCCACTCCTGAGTAGTCTAGAGAAAAAGATATTTTGTCCACATTAAAATCCATATATTTTGTTTTACAAGTCCTATGCCACTTGTACAGTAAAGTAGGGACTTAATGTTTGATAGGCACATCAATCTGTGTTGTGGCATGCTTTTGATCATTCCCAGGAAATATGTCCAAATTAAGCATATTTTAAGCTTTTAAAAAAAGAAAAAAAAATCAGTGCATTAAAGCTGAATAGAGACTTTTCAGAATTTGGCATCTGAGGTCTCATATCATCTGACTGAAGTATGATCCAATCTATATTCATTAGAATTTTTCGTTACTGCGAGGCAAGTCCAGGCAAAGAATTTTGAAATTAATGGAGACTGTCCGTATTGTGCTATTATCCTGTCACCACAGGGATAACAGTGGAAGATGCTGAAGGAGAGGAACTACAGTGTAGGTGTGGGGAGAGCTAGTATGAAGTGGTTAAAGAGACTGTAAAGATCCTTAAAAGTGGATGACTAGTTTGGCGATTGTGGGTAGAACTTGGAGCTATTGGACATGCGCTGTGAGTAGAACCTTAGCAGCTGTACACACAGAATATTTTGGACTTGGACTATAAAACTGAAAGCACAAGAAAGATTGGAAGTAAAAGGAGATTGAGATGGAAAATGTGGTTTTAGGACTGGTAAAGAATGAGTCTAGGATGAGAAACCTCAAGGCTTGAGGCTGAGGAAAGTGAAGAGAAAGGGTGAGCAGCTAATGGTATCTTCTTGGAGAGGTAGAATTGAAGAAGATGGGAAGAAAGTGTGTGTACCCACTAGAAAACCTTTTATTTTTTGAGTCTGAAATGGAACTTGGGATTTCCAAGTCTTGTGTTACTTTCTCTTGTCAGCAAAATAATGTAAACTTGGCAAAGTGTCTCTTTCCAGTGACTGTTTGCAGAGAGAATAGCAGTGTAGTCCCCCAGTGGTTTGTTTTCTATGTCATGTGCCACATGGTGGGAATCCAAATTGTGCTTTTTGTGTTTCACACAAGTTAAGTAACCTATTTCAGAGACAAACACTAGGAAGCTGGGAATGCCAGTCCTAAGGTTGTCTTTAGTACTTAATAAATAAACCCCAGGTTGTGTTTTTATTTAACTTACGGTATTCTTTTTAACTACACTATCATGTGTTGTTTTTCTGTTGGAGCCTTTGCGCCAACTTTTGCAGAGTTCTGTAGGGAGTACATCAGTGTTGTCTAGTGAAGCAAGCTTCACTAGATCAGATGTTCTCCTTGGCTGAAAATGCAGTCAATAAAGCAGGTAATTGCAGAAAGAGAAAGCGTGTGCTATTTAGACTGTTAGATATTGTTATGCAGTATTTTATACTGTTGCTGTCTGTAGGTTAGAATTTTGGGGTGATGCACAGCCAAACTCTTCAGAATTGTTCACTAACTATACACATGTCCTATTTTCAGAGTGCCTGATTTGAGACTTTGGTTAATTTTCAGAAATGTTGAGCATGCACAGCTGTGACAATAAATCATGTTTTTTTGTTTGTTTGTTTGGTTTTTTTTAACATGTAATACTTTCTATCCTGAAAATTTAGGTCATAGTTTAGGCATCCAAAATAATCAGAAAACATTTTAAAGTCGTCTTGGTGCATCAGTTCCTTCTCTGTAAAATGGTGATAACACACCCTTGCTTACAATCACAGAATGGTTAAGGCTGGAAGACACTTCTAAAGATTATCTTGTCTAACCTCCTTTCTCAAGCAGGGCCACCTAGAGCCAGTTTCCCAGGACTATGTCTAGATAACTTTCGAATATCTACAAGGAATAAGACTCTGTAATCTCCCTGGGCAACCTGTTCCAGTGGTCAGTTACCATCACAGTAAAAAAAAAAGGTTTCCTGATGTTCAGAGGGAACCTCCTGTGTTTCAGTTTGTGCCCATTGCCTCTGTCCTGTCACTGGGCACCACTGAAAAGAGCCTGGCTCTATTCTCTTTGCACCCTCCCTTCAAGTATTTACATAAATTTATAAGATCCCCCCTGAGCCTTCTCTTCTCCAGGCTAAGCAATCTCAGCTCTCTCAGCTTTTCCTCATAAGAGAGATGCTCCAGTCCCTCCATCATCTTTGTGGCCCTTTGCTAGATTCTCTCCAATACGTCCATGTCTCTCTCATACTGGGGAGACCAGAACTGAGCCCAGCACTCCAGATGTGTCTCATCAGAGCTGAGTAGAGGGGAAAGATCACTTCTTTCAACTAGCTGGCAATACTTTCCCTAATGCAGCCCGGGATACTGTTGGCCTTCTTTGCAGCAAGGACACTTTAGCGGCTCATGTTCAATGTGGCATCCACTAGGACCTCCAGCTTTCCTGCCAAGTTGCTTTCCAGCTAGGTGGCCTCCAGTGTGTACTGGTGCCTGTGGTTGTTCATCCCTGGGTGCAGGACTTTGCACTTCCCTTCATTGAACTTCATGATATTCCTGTCAGCCCCCTTCTCCAACCTGTCAAGGTCCCTCTGGATGGCAGCACAACCCTCTGATGTATCACTCACTCCTCTCAATTTTGTGTCATCAGCAAAATTCCCGAGGATACACTATGCCCCATCATCCAGATCATTGATGAAGATGTAAACCAGGACTGGACGCCATATTAACCACTGGGGCACACCACAAGTTACCAGCCTCCGACTAGACTTCACGCCACTGATCACCACCCTCAGCCTGGCTGTTCAGATGGTTTTCAATCCTATGTCAACAGCCCTTCTACGAGTATCTTATGAGAGTGCTGAAGGCCTTATTGAACTAAAGGTGGACAACATCCACTGCTCTCCCCTCATTTACCAGGCCAGTCATTTAATCATAGAAGTTTGTTAGGTTGGTCAAGCGTGATTTTCCCTGGGTGAAGCCATGCTGGATACTACTGATGACTTTCTTGTCCTTAATGTGCCTGGAAATGGTTTCCAGAATTAGTTGCTCCATCAGAATTTGCTTTAGAGACAGGTTTGGACACTGTCTTAGCAGGTTCCAGAGCAATGCATGCAAAAATATGGGGTGGAAATTTGAGCGCCTTTTGTCTTGTGTTTTGAAATAGGGGGAAGTTCTGTGGAAAAAATAGGATGTGAATATATGCTATGATGTCCCTGAAAGACTGAGCTACAGATCATTTTACTTTGGACGTTTTATCTCCAAGTGGTTAACAAGTATCATTGAATAAGACCAATTACACTGATATTTAAAGAGTAATTTGCAGCCTGCATGGTTTTTATGAGTTGTAAGGTTCACTGTAAGAAGAGTTTCTGTGTTTCTCCTCTGCGAATGCCATGTGTGTAGATGATACAAGGATTGATTCTCTGACCATTTAAAGGTAAATGTAGTGTGTAACACCTTATTAGCTGAATGAAGACAGGGAGAGACATCTTTTAAAATTTGATTTTGTAGTGAGTGGATTGCTTTTTTCATTACTATCTTTGCAGGTTTTAAATGGTGTTGAATTTTATAAATGAATTACTCCTTATTCACTTTTACATAAAGTTCATTTAAATGAATAAAAAATATTTCAGAAAAACTCACTAATATCAGGATATTAATCTATTTTATTTCATCAGTTATTACACACTACAGCCTACATATTGCTTCTATCTATTGTAATTCTGTTTTAGCCTTAATTATTTATTTTTAATGGTCTAAACATTTGCTGTTTAATGGTAGACTTGTTTTGAGACATGTAACTTAAGGCCTTGATCTATGGAAGAGTGCAGTTCTGTAAGTATTAGTCAGATCATTTATATATTTCAAAAGGTATACGCTTTAGTGTTTTCATGAAGGGGAGCTTTTGCCATATTGTTTTATGCTTTTATGCTTTAGAAGAATTTTTATTTCAAATGGTTTGAGTTAATGAAAATGAGACCTTTCTGCTTGTGTCCAGATCACTTTTCAAGACAAAGTCTTGTACAACAAGAGGAGATCTGTGCTTTGAAAGAAACGATTGCACAACTTGATAAAGAGAAGGCAACTTTGCAAGACTATGTGGAACAAGCAAGAGAGAAGATTGCTACTTTTGAGGAAAGCCTGGCAATTAAAGTATGTTCTAACATGTGAATAGTCACAGAGTCACAAAAGATAAACAGGGAAAGGATCTTTTGGGTCATCACAGCTATCTTACATTGATATCTGCAACAGTGCTCAGTGCTGACCTAGTTCTGCTCTGATTTCAAGGCAACAATAAAACTCATGTTGACTTCAACAGCAGTTGGTTTGAGCAATGTGAGCATCTCATGTTCGGTGTTTCGTATGGTTTATGCTTATCAAGAGAGGAGACTTTAAGTACTTTGCTGAAGTGGAGAAGAGTAAATTAGCCAATATTTTGTTTATCATAAAATTTAGCCTAAATTCTTCCTTGGGGTCCACTGATGTTAGAGATGCAGGCACCAAATAATACTGCCTTTGTTGTCCTTGAAAGATTATATTATTTTCACCTTAAGGTACTAGATTACCTATGAAAATTGCATCAGTTTATTGCCCACTATGATTTCAAACTATATAACAAAGCTGCTTAGTTCTTAGTTCTGAAATGTTTTTCACTTCAGCTTAAGTCATCTGGATATTGATTTAGGATAAACTAAAAAAGGTACTTTTTAACTGTTGCGATCATTAAGTCAAGAATTTGCACTGATTTTTAACAAAATCTTAACGAAAATACATTGCAGGACAGGCTATAATAATCTTGCCACAAGCACTGACTTTGCATTTTAAAAAAACTATAAATTGTAAAATGATGTCCATTTTAGAGAAGAAATGGCTGTCTCTACCTCACTTGTGTCTCCAGTGGAAGACATTTCTTTAGCCTATCTATGCTTCTTTTAATATCTGTATCCAAAGACAAGGGCGTAAAGTGATATACTTTGTTCTACCTTCTTTAGGGAAATACAGTGACGTAATTCTTGTTTTATCAGTTACAAACTACCACACTGGTAGTTTAGTAGAAAAGCTGTGATAACTTACTTAATAGACAGAAGACTTCATTTGGTTTTAGGAGTATGAACCAAATGCTACCTTTAGAACCACAAAGAGTTAAAAAATGTAATTGAAGTTATATTCTGCAAAAGATAATAATATTTGTTCCTTTATTTGCCAAATCAGATTATGAGAATTTTCGGCTCTAAACAGTACAGGATGAAACTTGGAAAACTACAGTCCATTTTGCATTAAATAGTTAAATTAATTAGCTAGCTGAATAAAAGGAAAATACGGATAATCTTATTTAATTATTTTTCCATTTATATTGAGGAGCGGTGAGAGGTTTATTTTAATCTTGTATTTCTTTTCAAGGAGAAAGTAATTTCAGATTTCAAGATTCTGATTTCTGAGTTGGAGCGTTCCACCAAGTAAGGATAAAATGTCAATATCACTATTAAATTTTGATTAATTTATAGCATTAATTCAAAAATTGAATCATAAGATGTGCTAATGTTTTTTTTTTTTACTCTACTAAATATTAAAATGTTACAGCTTTGTTTCATGACTTGTAAACTTATCCACTGGAAAAGCTATTGTTTGTATTAGGTTGGGCAGTATTGTCATACCTGAAGTATTTATTATTTGCTGCATAGAAAATCTGCTGAAGCACTCTGTATCTGTGAGAAAGATATCACCAGTTTGCATGAACAGCTACAAGAAACCAACAAGGAACTTGCACAGACTAACAAGAGCAGAGAATCTTTAGCTCACGAGAATGACAGGTTACAAGAGCGTCTTTCTAATATTAAGCAAGAAAATCAGGTATATTTGTACAGAGAACTCTTGACTAAAAAGGAAAACTGTATTTTTCAAGTAATGCTTAGAATTGTTTGGCCCTCAGCTGAAGTAAATCTGCAAACTAGTTTTTAAGCTCACCTTCGAACTCTGATTGTTCTCTTATTGCTCAGCTCACTTGTATGAAGAGGACCGGCTATTCTTATATAATGGTTTGGATGTTTATCTTGAGGAACAGCTAATTAATGTTTTTTCTGATCTTCGTGTGAAAACCCTGTGGCAGTTATAACTATTGCTTATATGGAAAAGTACTATGCAGGAGGCAGCGACTGTTTCTTATACTGTGCTGCGACTGGCCCGGAGCACTTGCAAGCTTATGAATTTAACTTGTTAATAATATAACACAGTACTTGTTTTAATAAGTTTCAAAGCTTTATTAGTAGTATTGTATTTATTTACATTCCTTTAAAGTGACTTTTGGATAAAAGATGCTGGAAATATTTGGTTACAATACCACATTATATTATGTACTGTGTTGTTTATCTATGTGCAGTTACTAATGAAAGTAATTAACATAGTTTAAAGTGTTGTCTCCTGCAGACACAATGTTCATGCATCAATGTGTTTTCCAAGCAGCTAGAAATTAGGCTTAAGACTTGTAGTAGTCTATCACTGTGTAATGTTCTGGTTTTTCTTCTTTTTGTTCAACCTCTTGCCTTCATTTAGGTTTTCTGATACTTTCTTCTCTGTGCTTATTCTACTGCTTAGGTTATCTTTGTCTTTGAAAGTACTTTCTGCTCACCTGGCTTTCTCTTCCTCTATAAGCAGTACCCAGTTTTGAAGGATCAGATTAACTTAACTTAATTTTAGCTATATAAAAGTTTTAAGTTATTAAGGTTCCCTTTTAAGTTAAGAAAAGTTCTCCAGAAGATTCATCCCATCCTAGTTTTGAAAGGGATTTGTTTTAGCTGTCTTTCTCCATTATAGAGGAAGCATAGCTAACTAGTTTAGAACAGGTGCCTAATTCTGTGCTGCAAAAATTAGGTGAGATAACTCCCATGCCAAGTAACTCTTCTCTCAAACACGTTCATCTCTTCTCTTTAGCACCCTCCTTGAATATGCTAGAAAAGCTGAGGTCCTAGTAGCTTTAACCACCAAAGGGAGGTAGCGAGTGTCACTGGAAACGGATTGCTGAAAGTGATTACTCCAGGGAATCACTGTTCTTTACCTTCTCTCGCAATCACAGTTGATACTGATGTGGTCAGCTGGTACAAAGGAAAGCCTTGTGTTGCTTTTGAAAGCTTCATGGTTTCCTTTGCAATGCCTGGATTTGCAAAAAATCTTAGCCTCACAGGATCACCTACTTTTTAAAGGGCTTGCTTCTATAATATGTAATGGTTCCTCTGTGGCCTTCCATTAATTTAGGTGCTATTCAAAGTACTTACAGTAGCATTTTGTTTTCTTCAGTTGAGCTTACTGAAAAAGTTCACAGAACCTTTCTCAGCAATTCACAGCCTTTTCACAATAGGAACAGGAGTTTCTCCATGGCCTACTTTCCCCCACCCCATACTGGTTCTTGCAGCTGAGTGTTCTCTTAGAAATTTGTAAGGAAGGAAGTGTTTCTGAACAGGGCAGTTCAAAACAGCCTTACTGCAGATTTTTTTTCTTTATTCTGTTCTGTTTCTCAAGCAATAGTTGCCAGAACTGTGTGCATTCTCCTAATGCTTGTGACTTTATTTCTCTTGATTAGAAGACAAACATTTAATTTGTTAATTCCATTTTCAGCTCTTCTGCTTTTTCAAGTGTTGGCCTTTAAGAGACTGTAGTATGTAAAAAAAAGGGAACTGACTGAGCCCTGCTCCTTAAGTGGGGCAAGGTATTTTGTTATGACCACTTAGCTGCTAAATAAACCATCTGTCTTTTTCTTCTTAGCTGCTACATTCTCTTATTGACATTTTTCTTCTTTTTAAGGAGATTTAGCATTATCTGTAAGTCAAAGAAGGTAAATGTTTTTGACATGCAAAATTTTATTGATAGAAATATCCATGTTTTAGATTTTATATAGACTTTAAATAGAGAGTTAATAAAGCAATAGGTGCTAGATACACACTAGTTCTATTTTTTTGTAAAGACACAAACAGTATACTTTAACCTTATGAAACAAATCTTTCTTAATAGGTACTATATAAAAAACTAGAAAAGTACCGGAATGAACTTGATGGTATGAAGTTGAAAGCCCAGTATTCGAACACAGATATTATCAGGCTGAAGGGTGTACTGAAGTCTAAAGTGAGTATATGGATTAAACCTGTTAATAAAAGCTGTTGTTTTAACTAAAAATGAAATTTTAAACATATTTCTGTGGAAGAATTTTCTTCCTAGCTGAAACTTATTTGCATTCTACTAACATGTTTTTAATAGTTTGAACATATTTTCTTACCTTTTTTTACAGTGCACAAGGAAGGAAGTACATTTCACTTTGTTTTTTATATATATGTGAGTGTGTGTCTGTATTTATTAAACTTAAAGGATTCAGATAGTGAATAATACAGAGGCTTAGGACTCTTTTGTCTTTATTACCATATGGGATTAATAGTAAAAAAATATTTCTGCAATATATTGCTGTACCTCGTATTTTTGATGTTAATTCAGCCATTTTTACCTGACATCTTTTGAGCATTAAAATACAGCCATCTTGAACAAAACACTGGTTCATGGCAAGTCTCTCAATGCTTTGGCTAAATGGCAAAGTTTTCCATGGAAATAGAATATCCATGTCATACCTGTAGGTGTACAGATATCCCTATTTTGTGAAGCTTACTGTAAATTATTAAACAAACAAGCTTTATGTCTTAGGAGAGAGAGAACTCTGAGCTTTTGGAGAATTACCACAAAGCCCGTGAACAAGGAGAAAGTTGGGAAGCAAAATGCCATCAAGCAGAAGCAGATTGTAGCTCTGTTAGACAGGCACTGATCAGGGCTGAGTCTGAGAACCACAGGTTGAAAGAGAGAATGGAATCCCTTGAAACAGAGATGGAGCAAGTAAGTTGAAATCATTCTTTCCATAGTTCACCTTGAAATGGTCTGGTAGTATTTTAAGCCTGCAGCTCTTTAAATTTATGCTTGATGCCACTTCTCATATTTTAGAGATACTTGCTACAATGGACTGTATGGAGTTTGAGTTTATTTAATAACATGACTAAAGTTCCGCTAGTCACACCTGGAAAAAAAAAAACTTAAAAAATAATAGCATATTTCAAGGAAAAAAAAGTTCTAAAATACTCTGATGTTTGGAATGACTGAAGGCGTAATGTCACACACAACTCCACAGCATACCTGAAACATACTTAGAGCTTTGTCACCTGTCACGTCCCTGTTCCTGCTTTTCTTGCTTCTAGCTTTTCAACCTTCTTTCCACTGCTTTAGGTTTCCCAAAGATCCTCTTCCCACTTGGAAATCTGAGGAACTTAAAGGGGCATGCACAGCATGGCTTTGAAAATATGTTACGAACATACAAACTATCTTCTGGTTTTGGGTTGTTACGTTTTTTGTTGCAGATCATCTCTGCTTCCTGAGTATCACATAGGCTACTGAGGAGTTAGATACTCAGGAGGAACTGAGCTGCTGCTGTTCAGGAAATGGATGAGAATGTAACAGTAGCAAAACAGCACAGAAAGATTGTGTGGCAGATTTTGACATTTTTGGAATATAATAAAACTGATACATGGTCCTAGTTTGTCCGGCCAGCCTCAAATGCGTAGAGATTTCATCCTTCTAATTCCTTCCCACATGCTTGCTAGTAAGTATTGCAACAAACAGGCCTCTTCATGAAAACTGTGTCAACAAATTGATTCAGAATTCCAGATAGATATTGTGTTCGGGTTCATAGCAGTTACATGTAAGGCACATATTTAAAACACAAAAGTTTTTATTCAAAAACCTTAACGTGCTTAGCAGTGCCCTGTGTTCTTTGTGCTTTTTTTAGGCAAGACAAAGCTAGAATTCATGTGATGTGCTCCCCCTACAATCATCTCTTTTGATCTCATTCCTAAGCAATCCTACAAGGAAGCCACAGTGCTTTCTCTCTCCCTTTTGCTTTTGTTAACAACTTCGCAGGCTCATTCTGCCACCTACTGAAAATTAAGGAGTTAAAAGTGACCAGAAATACAAGTCAGGTGTCACAGGGCAAAGTACAGGCATTTTTCAAAAAGGAAAAACCTAGGCTATGGTCATCTAAAATATACAAAATTCTGAATGCCTTTAGTCAGAACTGCTGCTGCTGGCTTGTGGACTTCTCTTTAGTGTGACTTCTGTCATCTCTTAGTCATGCCTGAGTTTACAGATGACAGCAGTATAAATATGACTGACAGTATCTCAGCATTCTCTGATCATCTACATGCAAGAATACATTTTATTGCTAAAATAAGAGGATCTAATTTGAAAATGGAATGGGGCCCATGGCAGAATTTTGAACCTTATTAGCTCTGCAGAGGAGTAGAATTCTAGGAATAGAGTTTAAAATGTCAGTAGCTGATTTTGCTGTCAGAAGCAAGAAGTCTTCTAGTTTAATATCTGGGAGTTATTTGAAGAAATAACTGTAAAGTTTATTCCTGAATAAATGACTGCTGCCGCCTAAAATTCACCACAATTACACAGAGATATTTTTGTATGATTTTGGAAGCCGTTTTAAATTTTCTTTACAGTAGAATTTTGATGATCTGATATTGCTTTACTGTAGCATTTAACAACAGAAGCAGCATACAAGTCTCAGATTTCTGCCTTAAGCAAGTCTCTTGTGAAAATGGAAGGAGAGCTTCAAAACAAAAATTGAGAGTCTCTATACTTGCAAATCTCACATCCACACAAGAACTTTGCATTAAACTAGATGCAGTCAAAGAATGATTAAATCAGCAGTTAACTTACACAGCAGAGAAGGTAGAAAGGGTATGTGAAATATATCAGAAAAACAAGTTTATGTTAACATTATAGTTTAGGGATCTAAATCTACTTTGGATTCTAGAATGATCCAAATAATCCCTATCAATGATTAGTGTTTCAATTTTTTGAATGTTTAATTTGGCAGTCCTCAGGGCTTACTCCTCAGAGGGTGAATGCTGTATGCTATTTGAAAAGCTCACTGCTTTGCAAGGTTTTACTATGAATACTGAAAAGTCAGGACTTAAAACTACTGGTTGTATTCTTGAAAGATGTCTTGGATTTTACATCTAGTTGCTAAGAAAGCAGAATAGCTGGAGTAGTTTATTAGCAAAGAAACTTGACATGGATTTTAAAATGCTTGAATGTTTTAGGAAGTATCAATATCTCTTTAATAACCTCTCCTTAATTTCTCTTGAAAATCAATTTCTATTGACCTTGATTTTTACAAAACCTACAAAATCAATGTTTGATAGGCACATTTTTAAAAACTCATCTTGGATAAACTCTGAAAAATTGTTCATACATATTCAGATTATTCAGATATTTTCAGTATAATTCTATCACTGTCCTGATAGAATTATACTGAAATATATTATGTTCTGTTCTCTGCTCCAGCTGAGATAATTTCTTGTTCTTTACAGGCTTCCAGCATTCTCTTTTGACCTTTGTGCCTTTTCCAGACGCCATGGGTACAGCTGCTCTTTGACAGTTGTTTATTTTTTCCAGCCAAATGGGTGTGATCTCTTTTGTATGCTTGTGGAATCCTCTATGATGCTTTCTATAGGGAAGATTTCCAGCGTATGAAGCTTTTGTGAGATCTGATATGACTAAGCCTTCCTGGATCCTTCTGTGAAATTTTCCATGAAGGGGCTTGCTGGGACTGTGGAGAGCCGCAACAGTTTCAGGAGAGAAAATGCAGAAATGCAGTTGGAGAGTAGGAGAACAGTCTGAAGTTGGGACATTTTCACTAATTTTTTCAAAACTTTCAACCAGTAGTCTTTCATCAGCCATGTATAACCTTCAGATAGGGCTCTTATTTTACGTAGTATTTCAGTGCAGGAATCCGCATTACTAGATTGCAGTGTATATATATTGAGAAGTGGAAACTAAACCTGATGCGGAATAATATTGTTTTTTCAGTGTTTCTAATGCTGTTTATTTTCCTATAACTTATGCTGTGTACAGTTTTCAGTATTCTTTTGTTCTGAAATACAAAAGCAGAATATCAAAACTGTTTATAGGCAAGGGAACTAGATTTTTGGTTGACAGTTAGTGGAAAATTGGATCTTTCAGACTGAAGAAACCTTTTACTTTAGTTTTGTAAAGGCAAATAATTTGAGTTTTGCAAAGCCAAATAATTTGAGTTTTGCTTTGGAAAGTGAAAAATACCTTTTTTTCTTCCCCTCTACCTGATGGCCCATGGCCTGAGTTCTCTCAGTATCTTCCTGGTTTAAAAACACAAGTGCTTATCCTTTGAAAATTGAGGAATGTGCTAGAGAGGTAGGGTGTTTGTTGAGATGTCTCAGTTCGTAGATTTAACATGACCTTTGGGTGAGTGTTATTGTGCTTAATGTAAGCTAGATATGAGTAAATTACAGATAAAAGTGTTGGCAGTGCACCAAGTGGATTCGGCTAGACATACTAAAATACATATACGAAAAGATGAAGGAAAAATAGCATTTAGCTTGCTTACACTAAGATTAAACCAGGCAGTTTTCTGTGTCTCTGTAGATGACTCAGCACAGATTTTCCTTACTCGCTGTCTCTGGGATTTTTTTTTTTCTTTTTGTGTATTTATGTTCCAGGTGTGTCCATTGTTCCCTTTTTAGGTTTTATGGATATTCTTCTTTTTTAGGTTCCCCTAAGATATACAGATGCGTAATCACTTGTTTTGGATTTTATTCATTTTCCCTTTCCCTCCAAATTTATTCTTGATGCTCCTTTAAATAAAATAAGTGTAATCCCACTCTGCTGGAGATGCAGATATTGATTTGTTATATCAGGTGTCATTTCCTGCATGTGAATGGTTAATCAGTAGTTTCTTGCCTCAACAAAATGTAAAGCTTCCTTCTCTTCAATGTTTCTGTCTGCAGCCTGTGTCCTTTGATCCATATATTTCATAGCATTTTGTCATTTGTTTCAAGTACATTTATGTTCAGATATATACATTGGATAAATTTATAAATCTGACATAGGATTTTGACTGAGGGAAAATATAACACTAAACATCCATCTTGAAGCGAGAGCAAATTTTGGTCATTGATCCCAGACTTCCTTTCTCCTTTTTCTCTGTTGTTGTGGTGGTTGTTTTTTTTTAAAAAAAAGAAAGTTACCATAATAGCCAGTAAGCTTAACAGAAGTACACCTGAAACTTCAAAATCTTTGTTTAGCTGCAGAGAGAGTGTGAGTCATCCCATTTTGAAATAGAGCTGCTGAGAAAACAACTGGGAAATGAAAGAGCATCTATGAAAAACCTGGAATCTTTGCTTGCGTCCAATTGTGAGAAAGAATTTCAGTCACAGATAGAAAAGCAAGAAAAAGACTCTGAAATTCAGTTTTTCAAGGCACAACTTTCTTTAGCAGAAAGTAAACTGTGAGTAAATGACCAGGAGAACATTGCAGGATTTTCATTCTTTGCAAGTGTGTATACACACAGATGGTTTTATATCTAGCTGTAGTTTCAAATGACCAATGTACTTTGGTTACTTTAATAGCAGAAGATACCAAAAACTTGTTTCTGATTGCTCAGCTATACCCTAATAGACTTTTCCATGTAGTGTGCTATATTTTACTCCAAAAAAAATGTTCTTAATCTCAGTTGCATGGTATAGCTGCCCTTTTCATTTTGGATAACTGCATTTTGTGACATACTTGGAGGATTATAGTGGCTAGCTAATTAAAATATGTGGACTTTACAGTGCTGTGCAGAGTCAAGATTTTACTCAGCTCAGAAATAGAGCAGCTCAGCTAGAGCTGGAACTGGATATAACCAAAAGACAGCTGGGGACTGAGCGCTTTGAAAGGCAAGTATATGTTTTTGTATTGCACTTCCTGCATCTAATTAGGGTGAAATGCAATATAGTGCTAAGACTTAGGCTAATTAGTAGGATAAACAGCAAAGTTTGGTTTTGCTCCGCTGTACATCTCTTGTGTGTCCGGACGCTATTCATGTCACTGAATTCAGTCTGTGTAGCTGTTACATATGCTGTCTAAATTAGTTGTCTAGGTTCCCCTTATAGCCAATGGAATGTCACAGTAAGATAAACCGCCCTCTAGAATTGCCTGTTTTAGGATGGGATGGATCACTTTCCTGAAGATGCTCGTCTGTCTTCACTTATTTGTAGTGATGCCTGTCTTGATCCGTAGTGAGAGTCTAGGTGACTAGACAAGTGATTTATAGACTACTAGTTCTGCGGTATGAATGGCTGCCTTTTGGCTACACCTGTACTGGTGAACTAAACCAGGTCAGAACATCGACTTGAGGGGTCCACACAACTGTATACTTGTCCATGCAGTTAAGTACACACTCTGGAACTATTTTAGCCCATACCAACCCACACTCTTCCAAGTACTGCTTGGGCCACAGAAGGTGCTAGGGGTGGTTCCCAAATGGCAGTATGGCCAAGTAATTTTTTTTCTTTTTTTTTTTTTTTTCCCTGCAGAAGAAAGTTTAACAATATATACAAGATGTTTCATGTGATTTGGCCACAGTACCAGAGAGCGGTCCCTGGCCTGCTTCATGAGTTAGTTCAGCTTCATAGTCTTGGTGTCTTAAATAGTTTTCTTATACGTGAAACAACTGTACTCTATTTCATGGATATACTGAGAATAAAATATTACAGTGTCAGGCATTATTTTGGGTATGTAAAAGAGGCAGCTAAAAGCAGCAGAGTGATGTGATTATAGCACAGGTTTGAGAATCAAGTGTCTTGTTTGATTGTAGTAAATTACTTTGTTGATACTTTGTTCTCTCATAAGTAAGGATAAGAGTTTTGGAGGGGGCATCTCTATACGTGAAGTTAGGTCTTTTAAAGATGGATTTCTTAAACGTCTCAGTGTATGTTTCAATTTCAGATTGAATTCTCTTTTATCCTGAAGTCATGGCAAAACCTGCTAAACTTTTGGGTTAGATGTGCAAGAAAGTTTAAAAAGTGGCATCATTTGTGCTTCTTCAGCTACATAGAATGAGCCAGGCTTTATGCTAACACAGGAGTACCTTTATTTAAAAACAAATTTGATCTTCATGGTGTATGGGTGCTCCTGCTCCCTGGTAGGGACTGCAAGTGTTTCTTCTTAAAGTTAATTGTCAGAAAGTTTAATCAGCCTCCATACTTCATCTCTTCTCCTAGTTAAGGTTAACTTGTTACTTATGTAGTTGTTTATAGTTGCAATAAGATCAACACTTAGTTTACAATTGGTTAGCAAAACAGACATTAGGGTGAGCCTATGCTGAGGTAAAGATTGCGAGTTTTCATTCTTAAAGAGAATTTCTCTTCAAGAGAATTACAAACATAATTACCTGAATTGTTTTGGAGAGAACAAAGCTAGGTCCTGTTATGCAGTCTGCAAGTCAGTTGCAAAAACAGTATGCAGAAATCTTAGCAAAGACTGAAATGTTCTTATACAAAAATCTGAGGCTCACATTAGATTTAGCTGTCTTTGAAAGGCTAGATCTTTTTTCTTTTTTTTTTTTTGCTTTTTCATAAAATCAAAACATTGTCTCTTCAATGTCTTGCCAAAGTTAGAAGAATTCTATTTCTTTTCTGTTTTTCCTCAGAAAGTCATGCTTTACAAGAGCAAGTATCTATCTCTCTTGCTTGTAGAGAAAGAGATTAAAACTCCAAGTTGGCTTCTTACAGCCAATCTATTTTTCTGGTACTGGCAAGTGAAAAGCAGAAAATTAGCCGGAGAGGAAAAATAGTATCATTAATGTCAGTATCATAATAGTATATAATGGAAGCAGCAGACTTGAGTATTGACTGTTTTTTTTTTGTTGTCAGTTTAAAGAAGTGGGAAGATGATATCCTTGTTCTAACACTGACTTAGCTACTCATATTGATTTACTGCCTTGGTGCAGAATGAAATAATGCCTGAAATTAGGAGGTGGAAAGTGCCAATGCCGTCAGGCCTTGAATGAGCACCAACACAGTGATATTAGGAGGACTAATCCATCTGTCTGGGTTTTTCTTTACCAGTCAGGAAAAGCACCTCCCCATCCCTCCCATCCTCCTGACTGCGGAAGCAGTTTGGACTTAAGTGGAAACAGCAGGTTTGATTTTTGTCCTGGTCTGGCTGTGGTGACTAAGCATGGGGACTGTCTGTCAGGTACCTGGGGACAGCCCCATTCGCATGACTTGCGTATCTTTTTTAATCTCTTTCTATTTCTTGACCCTCCTTTTCGCTGCTCTTGTACCTTTCTTTCTCTGCCCTACTCTCCTCCCAAATAAAAAACTTGCCCATAATTACTTTTCCCAATTGGTCATGGTTTTGTTACATTCATACCTAAACTTGGTGTTCCACAGGGCGATGTTACCTGTGAGACGTGCAGGCAGCTGTGCTCTAACCTCCTGCCATTGCCACCAACATCTTGACCATTAAAGACGTGTGTAGTAAAGCCCTTAAAAGCAGTAATGCTGGTAAGACCAGAAGTCCATGTAGATAAGTCTGGTTCTGTAGTCTTTACAGCACGTATGACGCCTTCCCAGGCACAAGGATGTGGGATGTTGCTAGCTAGGTGGAGGACTCGCTGTCTCCCGGTGCTCCCCTCCAGTCAAAATGACCAGACGACGATTTTACAGCCTTCCCACTGGGGAATCCAGCATCCCTTAAATATCCATCGGTTTCAGGGCACTTCAGGTAGACTCTAGTCCACTGGCCTTGCCAACTCAAACAGCACAAAAATGCCACAAGCAATGCTGTTCTTACGTTAATATCATTGCTAATTTTAGTGATCGTCCTTATGTTGTAGGCTTGTGAATAACCTTAAAATTAGGCTCTTCCTCCCTGGAGATTTTTACAATTTCTAGAGTTTAACCTGCAGCAACCATGGCTAGCTTCTGTCTTTTAGGGCAAATAGAGACAATAGATATGTAGAACTAAGTCTGAGTAAGGGAGTAATACACAGTGAGTCAGTAATCTGTCTTTCAGAGAAGTATATGATGAATGCCACATCTTGTAAAATAATAAAAAAAAAAAGCTGACAATCTTAAATAGGAAAAAAAGATGATAATGACTATGAGATTATTTTGACAATTTTTGAAAAGTGGTTAGTCTCACTAATTAATGTTTATTTAGGGAACATGCTATACAGGAGCTTCGACGCCAGAATCGTACAATCACGTATCAGTTAAGCTCTACATTAAGAATATCATCACCTGAACATTCCCATCATTGATCTCCTGATTGGTCTCTGGACTGGTCCCTGGAAGGGTAAGTGGTACAACAACATTTAAGTTCCAAACGCTGAGGGGAAAAAAGAAAAAAAAAATAAAAGGATGAGCTCTGATATTTCTTGTTGACCTATTGACTGAATTCCATGGAATTACATTGCTCTAAGAAAAGTTACAAGAAGATTCAAGACCGTAATCTTTTGATGATACTCCTTTTATTTTGTTTTATTGAGCTGTATCAAAACTATATGGTTAATAGCAACTACTTGCACCGGGATGCTATAGTCATAAATTGTTAAAACACTAATAGAAATAATGCTACAGAAAATCTTGACTTGCCACCTTTTTGTGCAGGTCTAGATGTAAATATTTTCATCTTCCCTACATAAAAGCTCTTAACTATCCAGCCTTTCTAGTACTTTTCAGAATAGTTTTTACTCTCTCTATATATGCATTTTATACAAGAAACATAAATGCATTCTAAATGTCTTCAATGCATTCTTGTCTCCTCCTGAGGAGGAGCAAGCCCAGCTTTCCCTTTAACAGTGAAATGGAGCCTCCACAATATGCAGCAACTCCCCTGTCAATTTCAGTCTCATCTTAGCTTCATATTTGGTAGCTGCATGCCTGTTGCATCACACTTTTTCCTAGACTGATGGCAGCACACGTTTAAAAAAAATAAATTGCCAGTTGAGGGGGAAAAAGTCTCAATTCATGACTTGCAGGAAATAATTTCTGCTTTTGAGGTTGTTATGTACTTCTAAGATGGATTTTGTTAATACTTTGTTAACTGAGGTTATAACCTTTGGCACTCGATGTTATCAAAGGCTCCTCTAAATACACAGGTCCTAAGAATAGGAGACAGTCACTGAGCTGACTGAATCCGTGGGTTGGTGAGCTGGTTCTGGTGCCCTTAGTAGGAAAACACAGTTGTGCAAGACGGTGATTTTGTAGCTATGGCCAGTCCTCGATAGCAAGTACAGGGAGTCTTCATTCCTCTGATAGAACCGTGTCTACTCCTCCTTTGTCTGAGTAGAGCGTAGCTCTTAAATTTGTTGAAATAAGCATTGTATCATTTGGAACGGTTTAATTTACTTCTAATTACCATAACACTTTCTTCTGGTTTTGATACTGTATAAAGAAAAGAGGGATTGACCCATGTAGTCACTACACTAACGACTGTGGTGCTTTTTCTATTGGTATCACTCCCTTTTAAAGGTGATAAAATTCCTTTCTAATCAGTAAACTTCTGGCTAAATACAAATCAAGACTAATCTTCTACAAATTAGATTATGAATTCAACTCCTTTCTTGTTTCCTTGGTGGGTTTTGCGTTTTTTTTTTTGGTTTGTTATTCTTCTCCTGGCTGGCCTTATGTGGCAGATCTGCTTTTGCACATTCCTAGGGAACAATGAGTTTAAGTAAGGATTAAAAATGAAATATGTGAGCCAGTTATAAATACTTTGCTTAAAATCTTCAGCTAGTTTAAGCTAAATCTTTCTCAATTAAATCAATGTAGTTTTGGAGTGCAAATGAACTCAATTTTTTTCCTGCCCAGTTATTTTCCATTTTTGAGTGCTCACAATACTAATATAATTCATAACCTTTTCCCTCATCCAGCTTGTTGTTATACTTTTCTGGCTAAGTGGGTAGAACTAGGGTTGCTCCAGACATACATATTTATTTATACTAAATGGTTTGGGATTGTTTTCATTAAAAAAAAAATGTGCAAAAAACCCTGTGACTTTGGCAGTCTGTGTTATGTTGTAGAAGCTTAAGTGGAAAGAATTTATCAGGTTTGTGTAGTGTAGTGATACAGTGGTGAATAAAATAGCCTGTTTGATAAGGCTCTCCTGAGATGGAGAAAGATCTGAATCTGGATCTGACTGCTTTGTATAAGTGATTTACATTTGATTAACTTTGTCCGGGTGAGTGCTTTAATGTCCAAAATACTAAAGTTCTTGATAAATCTTATGTCAAGAACTAGGAGTTTATATCAAGAAAAAGATGGAATAGTAGAAATGTCTGAAATATTCGTGAATGATGAAATAATTTCGCTCCCAGCTAACTATAGAAAGATTAAGAAAAATTAATTGAAACCAGAATGAAAGAAAAAATAATGTATAATACGGCTTGAGAGTAAAAAGCAAGAATATTAATGTGAACGTTGGGATGTAAACATCAGCAGAATCACAGAATTCAGGCTTTTAAAATAGATACATGGGGAATTGATGAACATGATCTAGGTGTAAGTTCCTGTTGGATTTAAAGCAGAATACTACTAGAAATAGTCCTTCCTTCATTTTTAAGTTGCTTGAAGACAAGTTACGAGGGGTTGAAAAAAATACTGTAGAAACAACTACTCTTTGGTAGAGAGGCTTCTTCCTCAGCTAACGTCTGATTCTGCACTACATGAAGTGTACTGAGATAGAGGTGCTGGAATCACCATTAGTACCCTTCCTCTCTCCAGTGTTTTGGTGCTATTTTAGCAGACAGTAACCTTTTTATTTTATTGAGAAGGTGATACCAGAAGTAAGTCGGACAGTAACTTTTTCTTATTCTTTCATCTTTCTCTCTGTCTTTATTGCACCAGACTCCTTGTTTCAGTAAAATGAAAAAGATGTGCCTTGTAGTTTGCCTTGCAGAAAAACTGCCTTGCGGTTTGTCTAGTGGGAAAGACCTTTTCTGTCTGATTTTCCTAAGTGATAGGAGTGTAAAACTTGCCTTTCACTTCAAAAAGCATTACAGCACTTTTGTACAACAAAATCTAACCCTTCAAATGATCTGGACTGACTGTCAAGAGACTGGGAAGCCCGCTGAAAGTGCTTTCAGAATCAAAATCTTAAAATTTTGCACATGGAAACATCAGAATGTATTTCTGTATTCACTGAATATGAAACAAATTAGATTTATTTTCTTTTTACTTCTAGGAATTCTTGTTTCAAGGACTTATAATGTTATATTCGCAATGACTTGTGAGGACTCTGCGCACCATCTGTAGAGTTAGAGTTCAAGTTTAATGCTCATTTAATTACCGTTTTTCCCTGCTGAATGCTAAATTTTATTAAATCTATTTCACAAATGCTTGCACAGGTTTTTCATCACTCTTAACGTTGTTTAGTGGGAAGAAATCAGTCTAGATAGCTTCCTCTCCCAGCTCTTGTATTATTGTGTGAGATGGCCCATCTCAGTAAACAAAAATCCTGCAAGTTCCATCGACTTCACTGACAATATGCTTTTATTTTAAAAGGGCGTATAATTTTAAAAGTTTATTGCTTTAACTGAAAAAAAAAGGAAAGAAAATAACAATATGAAACTTTATTGGAGGAGGAAACAGCTATATTTAGGTGTTAAGATTTGGTTGTATTTTTTGCTGAACTATGTGAGTATTATGCTTGAGAGAATGCTGTGCTATCTCAAGAGAGGAAGAGTTTGGGGTTCCCCCCTCTTCAAACCTGACTGATCTATTAACTTGAATAAATAAGATAGTCATGCCAGCAGATACCAGTGTTTCGATATCCATCTATGAAGATAAGGGTTGGGTTTTTTTTACGTTTCACTACATGCTGGGGCTATGTTCAACTCCTAAGAATTTTATTACGACTGCACGAAGTTTCTACTTAGAGTTCCTTAATATGAGTGAGTACTGTTTGCTGATAGTTACTGACACTTAAATTTGCTCACTTTTACACTTTTCCTAGATGAGAGATGATGATCATCTCATCATCCCAGAAGATCGGAAAGTGGTTTGTTGTTTTGCAATCATATTGCCGTACTGATTTTTTTAGAAGGTGATCACAAAAAAGTTTGAGAAATGTGATCTTAGCCAGTAAAACTAACACCCTGTCATTTAGAACATGAGAAGGAGAGATTAGATAAGCATAAAATAGATAAAACTGACTTCTTTTTGGGACTGGATATACTGTGCAGAGGCCCATGTCCTAAGATGTAATTCCTTAGTTGCAATAATAATAGATTTTCCATATAAGATCATAAAGATGTTAGTAACAAGATGCTCCCCTACAAAGTAGAAGAACAAGAATCTTAAGCAATTTGAACTTTAAAATTCTTCTCTTAAGTAGAGCAGATTAAGGGACTATGAGATTATAAATATCAACATGTAATAAACTTGCTTTTTGTAGAGTACTCTGATAAAGTAATAGCCTTTATTATTAGGGTTAGCCTTTGTCTAGAAAACATTACCTACAATTACCTAAAAGGAAGTTGTAGGGAGATGGGGGTCCCACCTTCTCCCACCTTATGAATGACAGGACGAGAGAGAATGGCCTCAAGTTACACCAGGAGAAATTTAGGTTAGATATCAGGAAGAATTTCTTTACAGAGAGGGTTGTGAAGTATTGGAACAGGCTGCCCAGGGAGGTGGTGGAGTCCCCATCCCTGGAGGTGTTTAAAAACCGTGTGGATTTGGTGTTGAGCAACATGGTTTAGGGACCCTGACAGTGCAGGGTGGATGGTTGGACTCGATGATCTTGAGGGTCTCTTCTAACCAGATGATTCTATGATTCTGGCAACGAGAACCCTGTTTTTCTGCAGGCAAATTGCAAAGGGATCATCAGGTCATGGATGGGGCCAAAGCAACTTTTGTCAATGGTGACGGGATATGGACTTCAAGTGACTTTTGACAGCAATTAATTCCTATGTAATTATTGATAGTTTGAAAAAAATTAAGTCAGGCAAGTGAGTATATTCAGAGAGCAGTATCACTGTACTGGCAACTTTCCTACATCTGACCTAACGCAAAGTCAGAAACTGAAAGAAAGAAAGAAAAAATCAAAGAATTAATTGAATATCCTGAACTTTGCAAACAATATCTTTTAAGTTTAATCAAAAAGCTGCTTGTCGGCAATGTCTGCAGTAAAAGCCCAAGAGGACTTGAATAGTGTTTGTTGGTTGGGAATTGCATGTGCTGCTCCAGTAGTATATTCTAAAAACCTTCAGACCGTTTCTGAATATGAAACTGCATCATCCTTAGGTAAGGATAGATA